GTGTGTGTGTGTGTGTGTGTGTGTGTGTGTGTGCGTGTGTGTGCGCCAAGCCTGGGAACAAAACGTTCCTCAGGGTTCTTCTGAGTAGGTGCTGAATTTCCCACAGGACCCTTGGCTCTAAACGTGCAGTTATTTTTCAGTGTGACCTACTTCAGTAAATCCTACTTCTCAGCCCAAGATTCTGGTTACAAGCCCCATGGAAAATGTGTCCCTGTGGGGGACACATGTAGGAACTTTTCACATATCTCCTTCTCCAACAAGGGTCATCATAGCTCACTCGGGTTCCCTCAGCTCACCTCACACACCTCACTCCAAATCTCTCCCCACATAACACTGTTTCTTTTTGACATTTCAAGAACTAATGCTCTTTCCCTTGTCACTCAGGTCAGTGGTTCTGTGAGAGCGTCTCCTACGGGTCATTTGGAACTCTGTGGTGGTGAGTGGTCATCACAGAGCCTGGTAGGAGTGGGGTGGAGAGTGGAGGGGGCCACTAACCAGCACTACACGGGGCAGAGACTAATTCATTCTTCCTGTGGGCAAAAGACCTGTTTATCAAAACTCTCTGAGCCACGAACCCACAATCTGACTCCATTTCCCAAAAGCAAGGTCATTTTTTTCTGGTGGCTTTGTGGTAAGAAGTGGCGCTGCAAAACTAATGGCACGTGGTTCGAACCCACCAGCTGCTCTGCTGGAAAAAGATGGGCAATCTGCTCCCGTGAGATTTACTGCTTTGGAAAACCCCTGCAGGGTCAGCTATGAGTTGCCTCAGACTCAATGGCACATAATACAACAGCGGCTGAAATCTCAGTTACCGAGTACTGTATAAAATGAGGAAAACGAATCTTTTTTCTTTTAAAACTGTGCTCATCATTTTGACAAGAATTGTTCACAATTTTGAAAGTTGTATCACTGATGGCAGAGCCTCTTTCCGACAACGCCAAGTACTGTCAACCTGTTCCCTGAGTGCACTGTGGTGTTCAGGGGCTTCTCAAATGAGGGGTGAGGGAGGGTCTGTCCACCTCATGAATGCAGCTCCACCCTAACACTCACATACTCAGTTTTTATTATGCAGTTCTGTCCTTCTCTTCCTTTAGTGTTATGGAATCGGATTTTGAAATTGCACATCAGTAGGCAGGCTATGATTTCCATTAATACAAATTCCAGAGCAGGATAGTAAAAGATATTATTCTAAGAAGGGGCGCTGGGTCCAGAAGGTGAGAATTTAATCACTGCAGGAGACACTGGTAACCTGGTTTCCCATCCCTTCCTCTGGTAGTTCACACCTTCAGTCCTTTCTTCAGAGCTCTGTGGTATTACTGCATGTATGGCTCTTTCATGACAAGCTGTCTTCCTTTGTGATGACAGCACAAATCATTAAGCAGAAAGAGAACAAGTGAAATCTGCCTCGTGCCTGGCAGAATTCAGAGAGCCAGCGGAGGGCTCTGGTTCCCAAACCCAAATTCTACTCCCAAAGTGGCCCCCAATTGTCTGCGTCAATCAGAGGTTTGTTCCCTCTGGAGGGAATTTCCCAATGGGTGAAATGGGTCTAGAAGACGTGCGGCTGTGGGCCAGAGGACCCTGAACCCTCTTCTCACTGCCAGCCGCCTCCACCTCTCCCACTCAGCAACTCACACCATCTGGGTTTCTCCCCACCCCCGCCCAAACCGCACTGTAATCAGACAATCAGTGACTGTCACCACTCAAAAGGACCTCAAAGACCTCCTCCACTCCCATGCATCTGAAGTAACAAAATCTCGAACACGTATCCAGCTCTTACTATGTGCACTGATATATTTGAATCAATATCCTTCATCCTTATAAAATCTCATGAAGGGAGGGAGGTGCCCCATTTTACAGTTAAAGAAACTGACACAGGTTAAGCAATTGGCCTATATTATCCAGCATTTTACTGGCAGAGGGAGGCTCAGATCCAGGCAAGGGGGAGAGTTCTACAGGTAGACAGGTTGTGGCCGAGTTTATAACCTGGGTTTATAAGCCCCTCCAGCAGGTTTTCAGAAGCTCAATTCACACAGGAGGCGACTATCCATCTTTCAGCCACAGAGAAGCTGGTGGATTCGAACCATCTGCCTTTATATTGGGAGCAAAACAAGCACTCCGCTAGATCACCAGAATTGCTCCCTAGCCTGTTTTAAGTGCAGACAGCTAAATGCCTTTTTGGAGACTACCTCCCTCTCTGCAGGTCTTGGGGGAAGGGGCAAAGATCTGTAGGCACGAAGCCACAAAGAAATCATCTTCAGAGTTCAGAATGACCAGAAAATTGTTCTTTCTTCTTTTTCTACCTTACGGAGTGCGGAGGGGCTTTGGGAAGAAAGGACAGAGTCCTTAGGAACGTGACCTCCCAGCAGTCACACTCCCATCCCCCCACCTGGGCAGAGGACCTGGGGTGTTTCTCCAGCCACCGCCCTGCAAGCCACCAGCCCAAAGCAAAAGACAAGCCAGGGACTCTTCTCTTGGACTGGAGTTCAGGATTAAGTTGCAAATGGTTTGAGAGATTGGGAATGACAAAAGGGGCTTGGAGACTAATTAGGAGCAGCAATGAAAGCTTAATTCATAAAAGCAAACATTTTCCATCCATCAACCTGCAACCAGTTAAGGGCACCGTTTGAAAGAAATCTGTGCATAGGGAAGGGAGCCAACAGGAACAGGAAATGTTTGAAAGAATGTAAACTATTTCAGTTTCATAAAAAGTAACAAGTAAATAGTTATTACATGCAAATAATGCCCTGGTTTTAATTAATGCTGAAAAGTCAAAATATGTTTGACATTTGCATGTATACATCGGAGGAATGGTTATATGAAAAAATGGTGCCCAGATGCCCATTTCCCAATGGGGCTGGCGGCTCGGAGGGAACGAAAACCTTGAGAAGGCCTTGTTTATTGGTGATGAAAAGTACAATTTTGCTTCAGCTTCAGCTGGTGTTAAGCCGGAGCTGGGGAGTGGGCAGACCCAGCTAGCTAGCTCAAGGCTCAGGCTTGATGCTTGGGAAGGGCACTCCCGGCTTCAGCCACAGCCCAGGCAGGCTGGTCTTAAAGGGCCCGCGCAGAGCCGGGCACAGTTCTAAAAAAGTGGTCTGGTTAAACGTCTCAGCAGTCTCCCACCCTCCTTTCCTTCATAATGCTGAGGAAGATCAGACAGGCAGAGCAGCACACAAGTCTTGACTCTGAGGCAAGAGACATTAGTCACTGAACTACGCTTTCCAATATCGGGTGCTGCACTCGCTTCTAAACTATATTAGGATTCAAAGGGCTAGCGGGTTGGCTTCTGGGAGACCACAGCTGGGAAGAGGTGGCTGCTAAGTGTGTGGGAAACCAGATGAGGTGTATCTACAGAAAACAGGACCCACGTCAAGCACTGAATGTGCACGCCTGTCCAGACATCTAATAGACAACTTTGCCATTTTGTAGGTTAAAAAACCCCAAGTCAGATTTGTTAATCATTTACTTAATGCATGGAACTACATAAACATTACAAATGCACCTTCCTTGCTTTCTAGGATGAAAATTGGTGTATCAATGGGTTCCAAGTGATTTCTCCCCCACCAGTTTTTTCTTTTTCTACACTCAGCAGAGCAAGATCATACGGTCCACCTTGACTCATAAAGACCCTCAAATACGTTAAGTATCAGCTTTAACTTGCTCAATGAACTGGCAATAGAAATCGCCCTGTGGTGCTCTGGCTTCTACAGTGCCCACGGCAGCTGGGGCACTTGGGCCCCAAAGACCAAAGATTTGAGCTCAATTACTGAAAATCCTGCAAGCTTCTTTTTCTGAGCTTGTTCATCTTTTTTTTTCTCCTTTCATCTCTAGAAGTTTAATCGGAAAACATGGTGTGTGGAAGGACAAAGAAGTTAGTTTATGCTACAGAGAGTGGGTGCAAATGTGTTTCTTTTTTTTTTTTTTTTTGACAAGAGATTAACTTTCCTTACATTCTCGAAGGGTTCCGTAACACCATAAAGTGTCCCAACTACTGTTTTAGACAGAGCTGAGCCAGGAGTCCTGTTTCCGGGGATCCCTTGGGGCCACCAAGGCCTCACTTTCAATGGCCCTTCCCCATCTCTGCCCTCCTTGGCCTCCTTCGGGGTCTCTGGTCCCACTCACCTCGCCCGCTGCGCCCCACAAAGCGCAGGTCATTGAACCTGGCCACCTGGTTCTTCATGACGGCCGAGGCGTTGCGCAGTTCTGCCGAGTAGTTCTCATCATTGCCTGCCATCACTGTCACCACTGTCCCATCTGGCACATCCCCCAGCGCCACCACCTGAGGGCACAGGAAAGGGACACTGCTTAGAAAGGCTGAGACCTTCGAGGACAGGAGGGGAAGGGCTGGGATGGGCAGCTCTCCCAGGTCTCGGTGCAGTGCGGATTTCTTAAACTCCATGGGGTAAGAAGCTTAATAACAAGACTTTTCTCCAAATATCAAAACAAGAGGACAACATTGCTGCTGTCCACACCCCAAATCGTTGATCAACTAGTCAAACCATGTCCCAGGAAATCATTTTTTTCCCCAGTGACACTAAACCTAAGCCAAGCAGCCTAAACTCTTCACTGTGATGTGAGATACAGTTACCCTTTTCCTTCAGGATTGAGTAAAAAAAATGCTATCAGCAACCAGTCTTTAAGTAAAAATAATGGTCCACAACAAAAGAACTGTGCGTGCTGCACTCCATGAACACAAGAACCTTCTGGGGTATGACATTTGGCCCTGTTTATGAGTTCCATTGGAGCCTGAATCTGTTATTCAGGGAAAATGTTAAAATAAGCTGGTGCCCTGTGATTAGGCCAGAAGACACCTCCCCCCCCCCCCCATTGAGACATAAGAGCCTTGGCCTACAGGAAGATGCACCTGCTGGGAACTGTGGGTGAAGGTGGAGCGGGCCTCCTGATGCCCCCCACCCCCATCCCCATCTCCAGCGTGGAGAGACAGCTGCCTTTTGAAAAGAAATCACTCTGAAGCCGGAGTCACAGTCATTTAAACGTGGCCAACGCGTGCAGGGACTGGAGATCCAGATGGTAAAAATTTCAAGGAGAAAATGTTTGGGGTCTGATTAAAAAGGCCAGATTTCCTGTCAACATCCTGTCTTCTTTTAATTTCAAAGATTCCTTTTAAGCTCCAAGTGACAGTAAAACCTCGATCTGCCGATTAAAGTCACACGGGCTTCCCCTCCCCCTTTCCTCCTCCTCGGGAGATTTCCCCCACTGGTATTTTAAGATGTCACCCGGGAGACCTCAAAGAACCACTCATCCCTTTTTCCAATTTGGAGTCCTCTTAATGGGAGCGAAGATGGCCTCAGCTGCCAGCGGCGGCTGCATCCAGCCACCTCGGGCACTACCAGGCGGCTGCGGGCCCTTCCTGCCCTGCCCTGTCTCAGGGCAGCTGTGAGAGGTTTAGGGGAAAACCAAGGCGTTTTCGTTTCATCTCGCTGCCCCCTTAAAAAAAAAAAAAGAAAATGAAACAGTCTTCTACACCCTGGCATAGAGATAAGCAGCCAAGAAGAACTAAGGGCTCTGAAGGGGTGTGGGAGTCCCTGGGCTCGGCCTTGCATAGGGGACACTTAATATCCCGGCTCAGCCGTTTAGGTCCAAGAGCTGAGGGTTCCAGCCCTAGGCCGTCCTTGTAACATTTCAGACGCCAGGGTTGATGGGTGTGAACAGGAAGTGCTTCTGAAGCAGAGCAGGAGGACTGCTGCCGGTAGCGGAGGGTCGGCCCTATCTACCCTCTGCACCCCACTTCGAGTCTCCTCGCCCGGATCCCGGGGATCCTCTTTCCCAGTTGCCCCTAGGGCTAGGTCCCAGAGATCTGAGTCGAGGAAAGGGATGCTCATCGGCCCTTTTCTGCACCAATGTCTCTCCGTAAGGCTCCCCCAAACCCAGGTGGAAGCCAGCATGTCACCTAAAAGTCATGTATGCGGATAGCATCCAACATTGAACTCCGCAGTTGCCAGGCCTAGCGCTAAGCGAGGTCGAAGGCGCCTGGAGCCAGGAACGTGGGGCGCAGGCATGCCCTCCCGGGGTCGCGACCCTTGCAGTGGGGAAGCTGGGAGCCCAGGGCCAGTGTCCTCCCGCCCCGGGCCCCGCACTCACCTTGAATGCGACCGGCAGCGTCTTGTTGCATCGCCAGTGCGAGGGCAGCACGGAGCAGAGGAAGTTGGGGCTGTCGGTGCGCACGAGCTCGCCCGCGTGGTCCGCCAGCACATCCACCACCGAGCGCACCTCGGGCCGCGCGCGCCCTCCGGGGCCCACGGCCGCCTGCGCGCTCAGCGGGCCGCTGTTCTCGCCCAT